ACGAGTGGAAATTCAGGATTTTTTTAAATATTGCCTTGTAGAATTAAGAACTTAAAACTTGTATACTATTAAAATATGCATTATTAGCTAAGATTTTATGCTATTCTAATTGGTATAACATAAACAAAAAGCAGTTTAATAAAATTTTGCATGTAAGTCACTAAAACCTTGTGTCATGCACAGTAAAGGATACCTGGGGCGATAGGGTGCATGTAAACACGACCTGTATTAACCTGGGTAATTTCAGGCACAAGATCTCTTGGTGAATAGACTGTATGATATTTTGATTAAACTTGAGTGCATTACTTTTTAAAGGACTTAGACCTGGAAATAAAGAGTGATTACACTTGTTTTTAATAAGGCTTCTTTGGCCCTTAAATAAAGTTTTTATTGTGGTTTTCAAAACTACTGATTTTCTTTGAGTTTAGATTACTATAACTGCAAATCCAAAGATGCTTCTTCAGTAATTTATTTCTATACATGTATTCAGCCATTGGGATCAGACTTTATTTGGCTATTCTGAATAATGAACAACCACAATGAGTTTTTTTTCCCCCCTAATAATGCAGTTTCCAAAGTTTCCAGTTTAAGTAACATGCCTTTCATTTGTGTAGCAAACCTGCTAAGGTCTTTAAAATGTTTTATTTTAGATTTATTAAGAAATTAGTTGAAAAGTAAAATAGTTTTATTTTGTGAATTTTTTTGAAGTTTTAGAATTTTGTTTCGTAGCACTATTATGATGTTCAAAGTTGATATCTAAACATGTTAAAACTTAATCTTTCAAGTTTAAACTTGAAACATATAACAATACATAATCACTTACACATAATACTATACAATAGCAATCAAAATTATGGATACATGACTTACTAAATTTATCTAAGTAGTCTTGCAAGTTAATCTTTTGGTTTACCAGATGTAGTAGGTTTATATTAAAAAACAAATCTCAGGACAGTTTCAGATGACTGTTGTTTTGAAAAATATTACTATGAAAATGAATTACAGGACAAAAACTTTTTATATTTTGTCAAGAGTAAGATATCTAGCAGCAATTTGTTTGCACAAAAATTCCAATGTACAGCCACTGTTCAAAACATGAAAGGTAGTGGAAGTTCCCGCAGTAAAAATACATCTGTAACTAATTGTTTGCAAATTTTATTAAAGAATATCCAATACTACAAAGGTTGATCTAGGTTATTTTCTAAAACAACCAGTTTTATCTTTGAATAACGGTAAAATTAATGAAATGTGATAGTCACATTACATCTCTTGAAAGATCAATTAGTGCATCAGTCAGAAATTAATTAAATTTATCACAAAACTAATTAACATTAACTATGGATCAGAACAAGCTATCTATTCGGATAAAAAAGAAACAAACCCACTGATGAATATAGCTAACCAAATATACTTTTATTACATTCTCATTTGCATTGTATCATCAGTTTGGAACCCTCACTATAAACAATCTTTTCTGTCATAAACTCAATAATATCTCGGAAATTTGGATCAGTACTTAATCCTTACACTAAGGTAACAATGTAAACTAATCTCTATAATAAAAATATAATAAGAAATAATAAAACTAAATATACAATGTAACATAAGACATTTTAATGTACTGAAATACTTGAATTACTAGACTTATGTTAATAAAGTTAAAATCTTACAAAAAGTTAACAACAAACCTGCAAGATTTACAAGGCTTTCTAGTGACGTGGGTGTGTTGGACAAACTTCGTTGTGTATTTCTGAGACGAAGAGTGGTAAGAGAAACCAAAGCAGGGAGCTGTCTGCAAATTAAGGATGTACAATTAATTACAATATTCGATTCATTTTAACACGATTACAGAAAAAACAGGCATATTTCCTTGCAATTATAACTTGCTTCTTCAAATAAATATTATAGATTTAAGGACTGGCTGAGTTATTGTTGTAACAACATACAAATTATCTAACGTTTTCTTTTTTCTATCTATTGTCAATGTTGTTAGGTTTGAGCCTGACTACCTATGCATAACATTGACGTGAAATAAAAAAAAAATCAATTAAAATAATTTTACTTCTTAATACTCAAAAAATAAAATAAAATACAAAGAATTAATTTGTTTGTTTTTGAAATTCACACAAAGATAAAGTCTGTACCAGCCATTCTTAATAACAGACTAAAGAAAGTAGCTAGTCAATAGCACACACACCACCAACTGTTAGGATTTGACTGTTGTTATTACAATGCACCCAAAGCCTCAAACTGTGGAGCACATTACTGTGACATGGGAACACAAATCAAAATCCTAACAATTAGGCTGTGCCCAAATGATGATTAATAAAATTCTCTCATGATATAATTCCTAGATTACTAAAGCCACAGATACAAAAAGAAATACACATTATAATGTTTGCAACAGCCGACCGTGCTTTAATTTATGTTAAATTTTCGAGGGCTTCAGAGAAAATTTTGAAATAGAATGATACAAGTGTCACTTTTTAATGGTTTGTTAATAAAACATCTGGAAATTTCTGACACTTGGACTTTAAGATTAATTTGACAATTGTACTTTAATTTTTCCTCAAAACAATAAAAAAACATTCAGGTTTTTTTTTCTAGCTTTTTAGAAACTTTTGGAATAAATCATATCTGTAAGAAGCTCTCAAGGCCCTTTTCTTTACTTTGTTATTCAGGTTGGCTAGTCTTAACAAGATCTACTCGGCCAGTTCACGCTTTATCAAATGTTTACTTGAATTTCTTGCTCCAAGTTATTAACATTTCTTGTTTACAATGGTTTTTGTTCCACTAAAGATAAGTTTATATAAAAGCAACTAGCAAAAAAGTCATGATTTTATGACTATTTTACACTTTAAATTTCATACCAAAATTCATTCAGCTCTGATGATTAAATTAGTAGACCACTACAAAACGTTTCTTTAACCTAAATTCAAATATTGATAATAATCTACGAGTGCTTTTTACTGGTGTATTTTTCTTATAAGTTGAATATTTTTTTTTCTACAAGCTTTAAGTCAAGCTCAAACTTGTAGCGTCACTTTCAAATATAAAAGTCAAACACTAAGATCACCAAACTAATCTTTCTCCTACCTTAATTGATTATGACCTAGAGGGTTGTTATTAAGGATTAAGGTCTGTAAATTGACCAATCGCCTCATCTGGGGTGGGAGAGTTTCTATAACAATGAAAACAAAAAAACTTTCAGAATAGTGAGACAAGCTTCTGTATTCAATTTATATTGAACTACTATATGTTTTCCATGCTGATTTCATAGTATAGTGTAATTATTTAAAATTCCAAGCTTCTTTAAATAGGAATATTTCATCTTGTATTTCACAAAACTTTTTTGTAAGAGGATTTACTGAATAAAATACTGTCATATTTAATCTTATAATTCTGAAAACAACTTCCGTGGAAAAAGATATCCTAAGCAAAATAATACTGTAAGAGACTTTCGAAACTAAACTATTATAGTTAATAATAATTCAGAAAGCATTTTTGGAAGAGAATTTCTAAATGAAGAAACTATAGTTAAATATATTTGTCTTATAAACCAGAAAACAACTGTTTTGTAAGATGATTTACAACTTAAAATGTTATTGTTAAATGTTTAATCTTATAATTCAGAAGATGACTTTGTAAGACCATTCTTGATTAAACATCGTAGTTAAATAGTTCAACTTATAATACAGAAAACTTTGTAAAAAGATTTCAAAACTAAAATACCGTAATAAAAGATCACTATTAAAATCCACTTCATCAGTTCTCAAAAAATACTAATAGACAAACTACCTCAATATGATCCACTTCATGTAAGTATAACATTGTGATACTTCTTCAAAACCATCTACGAGAATATATACTTTTCTGTTAAATTACTTGTAGAATCAAAGCAAAGATCACCTTTTGGATGTTAAGTGTTCTTACCTAACTTGTTATTACTCAGATCCAAATACTGCAGGTCTGTCAGATTAACAAACAGTTGACTTGGGATGGACTCAATACTAAAACAAGATTCATACGTTAACAAAAAATATTCACTAAAGTCACTGTGTTATCAGTTTACATGAAATATGATATACAGGTTCTGTTTAAAACTGAAAACCCAAAAACAAGATTCATAGTTAACAAAAAATATTCATGAAAGTCACTGTGTTATCAGTTTATATGAAATATGATATACAGGTTCTGTTTAAAACTGAAAACAAGATTTAAAAGTCAGATTTATATAAACATGTGTCACTAAAGAATTCAATTGTTGAATTAAAAAAGTTCAATAACTATTTCTTTAAGCAAAATTTCAAAATAAAACCTCGAAGAAAAAACACTTTCAACCTTTGAAAATAAAGCACACAAGAAATTATGAGTTTTATTTATCCAGTTAACCCTTTCTCTATAAGAATCTTTTTTAATGTTCTGTGTGAGATTGTTAACATTATGTTTTCAATTACCGTATTTTTCGGTGTATAAGACGGACTTTTTTACCCCAAAATTTGATGTCAAAATCTGCTTGTGTCCTATACACTGAAGGTATGAATACTATATAAGTATATATACGATATACACAAGCCATGTGTAAATATACTTAAATGGG